CGGAGGGGCTACATGGAGACTTCACTTTGTAGTCTATGCTCTTTCACTTTATTTAAATTTCACTAGAGAATGAATCGTTTTTATAATAAAAGAAAAGGCAGTTGCATCTTGAAAGGTGATGTGCACACAGCATGTTGGACAGGCCGGGGGCACCGGGTGGGGGCCAGATCCAGGCCCCCCTGCTGTCCGGCCACAGTCTCGCCCTCTTGAACTCTGCTCGATGACCCAGAGCCTGAGCTCAGGGTCCCTGGACGAGCAAAGAGCAGGCAGGGAGATGTGTGAACCAGAGGGTGTGCCGTCGGGGTCGCACCTGGCGAGAAGGTCATTGTCAAGTGCATCACTGAGATGACAGAAGATGCCCCCACAGTCGCCGCCCCGCTGGAGACCCCAGTGCAGGTGCTGGGCACCGGGGCATTCCCATGGCAGCCTTGCCTCCTCACAGGAATGCTTGCCAGGTTCCATGCGTGGTCACCTGCCTCCAGGTGATTCTGGCTCTGCCGTTGGCTCTCCCTCTGCTCAGATGGAGGGCTTGCATTTTCTCATGTCCCCCGACACACTGGCCCCATGAAGACAGCCCCAATGTCTCCTGTTCAACACCCACCTGAGCCAGGGGAGCAAGAACCCTGCCTGGGAACCCTGCCCGGCGTGTAGCTGGCACCTGGGGCCTCCAGTAGCTTCTAGACCCAGGCGCTGACCCCCAAGGGTCTTGTGCGTGCTGAGGCCTGGCCCCCCAACAGTGGCAGAGACTGAGCTGGGGAGGATGTTCCCAGAGAGGCTCTGGGAACTGGCCTTGGTTCTGGGCCTGGCTGGGGGCTCCCCAGCCCCCCCCCCATGTCTCCCTTCATCCCAAAAGGACCAGGGGGGTGGGACTGGAGAGGCCCCGGGCAGTCAGCAGGGCGGTGTCCAGGCCCCAGTGGTCTGCGGACTACCTCCTGAGCTGGACCACAGGCTGAGAACCAGCAGCCTCTCAGGGCCCAGGCATGAGTCCCACCGGGGCCGGAGCAGAGCAGACGGGGGTTGTGTGGGCGCCCGTGCATGCCAGAGCTGCCCAGGCTCGCAGCTCCATTCTCTCCACGCGGAGTCTACTCCTTTCATAAATTCAGCCTGGACACGGTTTCCATCGTGTTTTGATAAATATTGGAATTCAAATCATAATTGTGGGGAGCAGTGGGGGGCAGTAGGGAGAGTGATGCAGTGGGAGGAGGGAGTGGAGGAAGGGAGCTTTTCCTGTGCTCAGGATCCTGCAGCCAGCCAAAAGCTGTTTTTTCTTTTATTCTTTCAAATGTATTGTCAAATGTATAGAATTGCCCCCCAAGCCCTCCTCCTGTTGCCTAGCAACGGCATTGGAACCAGAGGTACCCTCCCTTTTGAGTGGCGGATTCCTCTCCTGACCTCAGAAAACCTGCAGGAGGCGCGAAGGGTCTCTGGCCTCATGGCGCTGTGGCACTGAGCTGTGGCTGGAGCTCAGAACTGCCTTATCACTGTCCCCAAATTTCCCTCTCCATGACTGGCCTAAAATTCCACCAGTAGAACTTCATTCCTTTGGATATTTTTGTAAAATGTCAGTGCACCTATTGGAGCTTGCAGTGAGTCCCATACACCTTGGAGTGAATGTGAGTTCTGAGATTTCCCTGCTGACCGGGTGTAAGTGGAGGATGGTGACTCGAAAGCACAGAAGCTGGGGGCATTTGGAGCCTCATACCTCATCCCTGTGCCAATCAGAGTGGGGCTCCCGTTGGCTTTGAGGAAGCCAGGCCCTGAGGAGCACCTGGCGGGTGGATGGCGGGTGGGTGGGAGGTGGAGAGCGTGGTGGTTTCTGCACTCCAGTGGGCCTGCGACTTGCTGCACACATTGTCAAGGGTGCAGGTTCCAGGGCCACCGGAGCTTCTGCGCACGCAGGGCAGGTAGAGAGAGGCATGGGAAGCCGGTCTGAACCGGCTCTGCTGGTGGCTCTGATGCCAGCCTGCCCCAGCAGAGCCCAGGCTGCCAGGAGTCTTGAGGGGGAAGCCAGAGGGCTCCCCCAGGACCCTGCAGTCTGGAAAGTTGCTTTGCTTCTCATCCCCCCAGGTCAGGTCCCCCCAGGTCAGGGCCTGGGGCGGGGAGGCCCTGCGAGATGCCAGCAGAGCAGGGTGGGTGTGTGGTGGGAGGTTGTAGACACAGGGGGCTGTGTGAGGAGGGGACAGGGTTAGCGCCCCACCCCGTCCCCAGGCCCCCACCTGCTGACTGTAGGGAAAGCCAGCTTTGTTCCCTCAGTTCCCTGGGCTGGCTGGAGTGGCTGTGGAGACAAGAGTCAAGTGGTCATGGGATCCCACACCCCCAATCATCGGGTCTCCTCTGTGTCCAGACCACAGATGAGGAAGCTGTGTCTCAGGGCGGGCCAGCGTGGGCCCAGGGCTCCCCAGCTCCAGGCTTTGAAGGGACCCCATGGCTCACAGGGTCCCTGTTCCCGCTCAAGCCACTTCCCTCTCTGCTGCTACTTGAAGCTCTAGAGGGGTGGACAGGACCTGAGCTGCGGGGTCCTGGCCCCCAGCTCCCCAACTTTGGGAGATGTAACCCGAGCCCACGTGGTTTTGGTTCAAGGGCCCTAGTGGAGGGCTGTCTGCAGTGCAGTAAATTGTGCTGTAGGGGAGATGAGCAAATGGCTGAGTGAGTGAAAAGTGGGTACACGCAGGCCCACTGGCCCCTCAACACAAGAGTCCAGCCATGGGATCCACAGTCTCCTTTATGGAAAGATTCAGGGGTTTGTTCTTGTCTGCGGCTGTACATCGTGGTGGGGTGGGGTCTGTTTAAGCAACGTGGGAAACGGCGTGATGGAGTTTTGCTATCACTAGTGACCAGTCACACAGGACACTGGACTCCAAGACCAAACCCATGCACAGCACGCAGACCTGGCTTCTGGAGTGACAATGTGACAAGGCCAGGAGCTGACAATATTGCACCGTAGGAGGGGTGGACACGGCACGTGGACATGTGTCTCTACCTACACGAGTGCGATGACAACAGTGAAGTGGACTTGGGTTACAGGGATCGACGCACCCCGGCGTCAGGAGGTGGGCATCTCCATCCCGTGTCCACTCTGCCCCACCTCTGGGAGCCGTCTGTCTGGGTTCCAGCTCTGGCTGAGGACCAGCTCGTGGGCCTGACTCCATGGGCCCTGTTCTTGAGGGACTGTTGGGTGCTGCGGCTCAGAGAAGGACGTCGTGGGGTTCAGGTAACACAATGCCAGCAGAGTGGCCAGATCCGAAGGGACCGAGGACACTGCAGCACCCAACTCACTGTGTTTATGGACGGGGGGGTTGAGTCCGGGCCCCGGACTGCGACGAGGGCCTGAGTCCTGAGTCCTGGCTGCCCAGAGGCTGTTTGCCTGACAGACTGGCTGTCTCCCTCCTGCGCACGTGGGCCACCTTCCCCAGGGAGAACCTACCGCACAGGCCTGCATCTCGCTTTCTGGACCCTTCCTGGCC